AAGTAAGTAAGTAAACTAAGATAGATAGATAGATAGTTAGTATATATATATATATATATATATATATAAATGCATACCTTTAAGACTAGCAGTAGGACTATCGGATCGCCAGTCAATCTCGTACCGTTCATCGTATACAGGGACACCTATGCGTGGACTATCTTTCACACTAATTGCATCATATGCTTCCTTTTTTTTGCCGGTTTTTTTTTACATCGGGCTTTTCGTCCTTGTCTGCCTCGCCAGCGTCATCCATACCAGCTTGTTCATTCCTAATACACGTGTGTAAGAGGGCAGGGGTAATGGTGGATAAATGAGAACAAGTAAATTTAAAAGTCACTTTGCCAAATGATATATTTGGAGGGAATAAGCCTAACAAAACTATATAGTATATCTCACACTCGATCGCAATATCTCTCTTTTTTTTTCCCCACCCACCGGTACGTGTCCATTTATTCTATACCGCAATTATGATCATAGCCTAATAGCGGTAATACATTATGTGTTCAGAATACATCTATTTAAATTTGGATGTCGTTTTGGTAAAGATGTCAGCTGAAAAACATGATACACAATCACAACGCGCGTCAAACACAGATGAAGTTTCCCCTCAGCCATATGTGCATACCCTCATCAGGACACCAAACAGCCAGTCCGTCACCCTCTATCACACACATTCCGGCCAATTCAACTTGCAGGTATAGGTGCTGTGTCACACTGTCCGCAGCGTTGTACAATCACGCTCGAGTGTGTGCGCGCATAGGCATATGTGATCTACATACCTCAAGGCACTTCAGATGCACAACTCGGAGACTTACCTTGGGCACCTTCGCGAACCACAGATCAACGCAATCATTCTTAAACCACCACACAGGCCACCACCCCAACCAACTCACCACAGCAACATAGTCGGTTTTCCATGTACATAAAGATAAAGTATATGCAGAGATACTTATTATCCAACTGCATGCGATACTTTCAGACCACTTACCTGGCATCTTCCTCGAACACCTCTGCGAAACCCGGATGCAAGCGTTCACCTACAGGCACCTCATGCCACCGCGAAAACAGCACCGCAGCTATTTCACCGTGCAGATGTTGTGCCGACCTGCCCCCAGCGTGCTCCAGCTCTAGAGTAGTTGAGCTGTTCTGTGGGCTGGGATGGGTAAAGTAGCGGATGGTTGGGTACCGCGTCACCTTGTGGTCTAGGCACACAGTCTTCTCATCCACACAGTTCACAGCCCCCACTGATATGTATCTGAGGCAGGTAGAAAGCATTTAAGGCCAACGTAAGTATCATGAAGCTGCAGGTACGTATTTTACCCAGACCACGTTATATACAATCTTATTGTCCATACTATTCACGGCCTTAAAAGATATTTACGCAAAGTTCAGTACCTACATGAGTTGTACTAAAAAGCATTGGTACGTAATAAATTGCAAAACCATGTGATAAAGTAAGCTACAATAATGAGTGCGCTATGCAGGAAGATGTACTAGCTTTGCTGCATGTTTACGACAAAGGCGTGAATCTGGGTCTGCAAGGGCATGCATCTGAAAGCAATCAGGAAATATTCGATAGTTGTATGAGCCATGCGGGTAAGTCCGTTTTGCTTACTGGTTTCCGGAAAAATGATTGACTCAAACGAAAAACCTAATTGGACCACAATATAACTAGGAATGGGAGGTCCACTTAGATAGGACACTTCGTTGCGTTGCGTATAGCCGCCCAGCCCAAGTATAGCATACTGACAACACAGGATCTACGAGGGTAGAACCGAGATGTCTACTAACTCACAGCTTGCACATAGCTTGCAGATTTCTAAGTCAAGGAGCAATAGTAGTACACCCACCTGCTCCAAGGTTTGGCAAGCTGAGCCACTTCCTTGAATGTGGGTGCAAAATTTCTGCAGTGCCCGCACCATTCCGAATAGAACTCCACCATCCACAGTTTGTCGGACTCAAGGACCAATTCGGTGAAGTTGCTCTCTCGCAGATCTAACACATCATCGTCCTCGTCGTACAGGCTGCCTCCGAGAGAGTTTTGGACCGCACTACATACAGAACGCGCAAGAAATTGCAGGTAAGTGGGAGTGTACACATTCACGAGGCGACATATAGACGTCGATAAATTTGAATGCTTCATATTTTAATAGCAACTATATGAGCAAGCAACTCTCAAAACTATACGTGCGTATGAAACATATTAATATTCACACACACGCACAATTATTAACACACATACACACAAAACAATAAAACATGCACGCCCAATCTCTCACCAACCCATAACAAACACACACACACACACACACATGCACACACATATATATATAGATATATAAACACGCGAACACACGCACACACACACACACAC